TTTGACAAAGTGATGGTTATCCCCGATTATGGAGCCACTTGCTACAAGGCTTGTAGCTCAGTTGAATTCAACACCTTGACTTTTATTGACTATGACTTTGTCTGGCAGTTAACCATGAGCGATGCTATTGTGGAGCGGCATAACTTGTCAATAGATGCTAACTTACTCAACTATATCACTAGTTCAAATATTTCATGCTCCTCTACATTGTGTCTTCTTCAACAACAATTGTTGTATGTAAAACAAGGTAGAGCAGCCATCACTCCAGCAGCTCTCCAAGAATTGGAGACCAGTCAGAGAATTTCTCGAGACCCACGAAATTTTGTCCCTTAACAGTCGTCTCTAACGTAAATGAAATCTAACCGACTATTCCAAAACTTTGTCTAGAAAATATCAAAGCTTGAATCCAGAGTGTATTGCCACAACTCCCTGCACTAAGTTCTCGTATTGCACGTTGGAGAAGCCCGCGTTGATGATCATTCTCGCAAAGTCATCCTGCAAGGCCTTGCTATAAGATGAAAGAAGAAAAAGAAAAAGTCTTCCATTTTACCTGTTTTGGGAACCTTCTAATGCTCTCAACCAGGTATTGATACGAGTTCCGGTCCTTCGCAACCATTTGCCCGATTGCCGGTATTACTGAGAACGAGTAGAAGTCGTAGCTGCGAAAGATCGAGAGGTAAGAAACAGGAAAGCGAAGCTCTTGCAGTCTTACATTTGTTTGAAGATTGGCGTCTCGACATGGCTGAGCTCCAGGCAGAGAAATCTTCCACCGCGTTTTAGCACCCTATGAGCTTCCCTGAGAGCCTTGTCAATGTGAGTCACGTTTCTAATACCGAATGCGATGGTGTAGCCATCCATGGAGTCGTCAGCGAAAGTGAGAGCCTCCGCATCGCCTTCGACCCATACAAGCGATGGCAGCTCTCCAAGGCCTGCTTTCACCATCAAGAACTTAAATCGGATTTGTCCACAAACGGAAATTCCTGGCTCACCCCTTGTTTTGGCTCGCTGCCTTCCCACATCGAGCATCGATGCATTGATATCACACACGTAGACTCGCGTTTCGTCGACCACTTCTTTCTCGTTTACTTCCTTTTTCTGTGGACTGCGTTGTTCCTTGGAATAAATCGTGTCTAAGACGCGAAACGCAATGTCTCCTACAAATCCAGGCACAGAAAATCAGTCGCGCAAGACAAAAAGAAAACAAAACCAAACTGCGTTTACCTGTTCCACCAGCAACATCGAGGTGTTGCATGCCCGGAAATGGTTGAAGCTCCGAGACTAATCTACACGAGAAAACGTGAAGGATAGACAGGAAAATCTTCGAGCAAACCTGTCCTTCCAGAGCCGATGAAGCCCTCCACTCATGATATCATTCATGAGATCATAATTGGAAGCTACGCTGCTGAAAACCGCCCCAACCATCCCCGCCTTCTCATCCTCTGGAACTTCCCTAAATCCTACACACCACCATTTCCATTCCTCGTTACAACAGCAACGAAACCAACGCAAGAACAAGAAGCAAAAGCGCGACAGAAAAATCCACCTGAAAAACACGGCGCTCACCGAAATTCGCGACGCCAGAGCTGGATCTCTCGCTGTGGATCCAGCGACCGCGCAACGCCTTCCCGGCGGCAGCTCGCAGGAGCGCCCCCCTCATGCCCCTGTCCAAGAACACTAAAATCCCGGGCTTAAACCCTAGACCACGGAATTGCCCTAAAACGCCAGGTGGACAATGCCAGGAATATGCTCTTGGCTGTCCCAGCCTAGCATGCCTTTGGCATCTTCCTCCAACTCACATTCATTGGCGGGCAATCCAAAGAAACCATGCATGAGCGCGCTAATAAACAAAACAATCCCCAAACAATACAGATTTCTCCTTGTTTTGTTAGCCCGGCGTAGTGGACACGCTGACGTATACGGCGCGGACTATTTACCGGCCACGTGTCTGTCAGACACGCGTTGAATCTTCTCTTCTTCCTAGCCTCGTGGAAATGGTTGCGTAAAACTTTTAAAAGCTTTGAAAATTCCCAAAGCTTTTGCTTGGTCTTCGCCTACAACATAGACGAGACTGCGTGTAAATCCATGTCGTGAGCCTGTTCTTTCTTGACCTAGTCACGCCCTAATTGGATCCTACCGTTGGGCGCTATGCCGCGTCAGCGTGCCAACGTGGTATTGGAGCATATTCGGCCACGCCCAGACGAATATTTCTTCCATCTTTATTTTCCTTGCCTTCTCTTATTTCCCCTTTAGGGCTATAGGGTTTTCCGGGATCCCAGCGACAGGATCGACGCTTCCGCCATAGCTCGGAGTCTCCAAGGTGTGATTTTTGGCGTCTATCCGCCTATAAGCAGCTCCATCGCTTCCACATTGGATCTAGCATTCGCAGCTCCCGGGGGGCATTGTTCATCGGGATTTCCTGCTCGATTTCGCGATTTATGGTTCCTAGCGGGGCAAAGATTGCACAGGAGGAGCGGCGGCGGCATCGATTGCGCGGCCGGGCAGCAGCGCGGCAGTGATTTCTCCCCCCCTTCCTGGTGGAAATATTTTGGGCCTTTTTGGGCTCTTCCTGGAATGGGCGTGAGTGGGATTTGCCCCCAGCGGAGGAATGTCACAGGGAATGAATCCGACTCCCCGGGGGAATCCACGATCTTCTTCCAGAAGAAGGTCCTCAAGGACTGCGCCAGCACGCGCTACACCGACGCCGACACCAAGAGGCTCCTCCTCCAAGACGCGGATTTCCGGCATAGCTGGTTCGTCTCGTCGCTCAATTTTGCGCGCCTGCTGCTGCTCTTCGCCGCCGTGGCCTTCCTCCTCTCCTCGGCCTTCATCTATGGATCGGGCGTGCTGCTGCTCAGGGCCAACGATCTGGGGCGCCAGTGCGTCGCCGCTTCCTCGTCCTCGATGATTCCTCCTTCTTCACGCACGTATAGGTTCGCCATGGTGACGTGCTCCGATGGCTCCTCCAGCGTCCCGCACAGATCGTTCGAGGGGCTCATGGAGCTGGTGACGCCAAACAAGAGGGCGTATGTGGATCTTCACGGTTATGACTTCATCGATGCGAGCGATTGCCTGGACAGGAGCCGGCCTCCCAGCTGGAGCAAGATCCTCGCAGTACGCAAGCACTTGGCGAGCTATGAGTGGGTCTTCTGGAATGACGCGGTGAGAATGATTCTTGCTTTATCTCTCGCGACTCGTGTCTTACTGATATTAATGTTTTCTTTTTTTTCTTCGTGCTCGCTGCCGTGCTGGTGATGGATTTCTTCCAGGATTCTCTAGTGACTAATCCGACGATTTCTCTGGTAAGCATCATGATCTCGCAACTCAAGTCTTTGTTTTAGTGTGATCAAGCAAGCACAACGCGCTAGCTTTTTTTTTTTTTCTGGCTTGCTAAGAAACTTAACTGACCTTTCTGCGTAACTTACCAGGAGGATATTGTGAATTCGGTCGTTGGCGACGTGGAGTTTCAAGACATGCCAGATTTCATCGTTACGGAAGACGTTACTGGCGTCAATGCAGGTAAAATTGTTTCCTTTATGTCTCGTCGCGATAGTAGCATCACACCACTTTCCTTTTATTGTTTTACCTTCTGCACTGTTCTTACGCTGCCTCTTTTCTCGAAGACCGTGTCCTGAAGCTCACTGTTTCTTCCCGTGCAGGCATGTTTTTCTTCCGCAACTCGGAGTGGAGTCAACAGTTTCTGGAACTGTGGTGGAACCAGACGTCGTTTATTAAGCCCTTCGGCCACAGTAAAAGCGGCGACAACGACGCCCTGAAGCATTTAATCCGGAGCATGGATGCAGCAGAGAAAAGGACTCACGTACGCGTAGCGCCTATGCAGTGCCTCTTCAACTCCAACTTGTGGAGACCTTCCTGGAAGAACGGCCATCGCTTGATCTCGTGGACAAAGTCGGTCTGGCATGGTAAGAGCTTTCTCTCTTTTCTTTCATTGCGAGATTCTCATGACACTTTCTTCGTCCAGGAGTTTATGCCAAGGGGGACTTCATGGTCCATCTAGCAGGTTTAAGCGACAAGAAGACTTGGATGAAGAAGATTCTCAAAGAACTGGACGAAGAGAGAATTTGGAGCACAGGAAATCGTCGAGCAGGTCCTCCTTAAACTTCGAACAGGCAGCGCATGGCCAAAACTACACACACCCACACACAGTACAGAGCACGGGAAAGCATTTTGGATTCGAGGCACATACTATTCTTTTTTTCTTTTCTTCTCCTTTCTTTCTTTTCGGTCGGGCCATTTCGTTTTGCGGCATAGCTCACACTATTCTATGGTGGATTTCTTCGCTCGCAGAGCTGCCGGGGACGACAGGGCCAGGGATTTGTACGATGATGACGACTACGAACAATGACGAGCGATTACGCTGAGCAGCTACTGAGCTTGGTGGAGAGATTTCTCTCAGCGAGAAGATGGTGAAGACGAAGATACGCGACAGTTTGATCCACCCAGGTTCCATTTTTGATTCATTCATGTTGTAGGAGAAGAAGAAGCGTGCAGTGGCTGCTCGTTTGTTTTATTACTCTCTTTTCCTCTCTTTCTTTTGTAAAGTTATAGATGAATTGGAGCACACTGAAGAAAACAATGATAAAAAGCGCTTGGATCGATTCGCATGATTGATTGATTGACAGAGCAAAGTACAAGAAGTTCGTAGCTGTGCTTCACATGGTTCCACTCAAGAAAATTCTTTGATTTAGTGATCAAAGTTTGTCACCAAGCTCGAAAATTAATGTTAGTTTACTAGTGATCAAAAAACGATTTTTCTGAAGGGATCGCGACTTTGCCGTGGTGAGAAAAAGAAAATCTCGTCAAGAACCGCTTGGATTCGCAAAACCCACGACTTGTCCATGCGTCTCTATGATCACATCAATCAAATTCTTGAAGATCAAACCAAAGAAAAGATTCAGTGCGAAAATTGCGTCAAATTCGCTATGATCATAAAACGATTTTGCAAAGATCACATGATGAAAAAAAAAGAAAATTTCGTCAAAGAGTCGGCCTGGACGAAAACACGACTTTTCTATGCGTCTCTGTGATCAGATCAATCCGAATCTCGAAGATCAAACCAAAGAAAAGATCTTGTTATCAAAGTATTGCCACAAAGCCGGAAAATCTGTCAAAGTTAGATCAAAAAACGATTTTGCAGCCATGCTGAAAAAAGGAAAATCTTGTAGCAAAGACCACGACCAAAAAAGAACTTGCCTGGTGGATTCGATCACGACGCCGACTTGGCCATGATGCTTCTCACCGTGGTGAGAATCCTCACGTAGTCGAAGAAGAGCCGCGACTTATCGCCAGTGATCCCAGTCCGAGAAGTCCTGTTGTTACCCGAGAAGTTGTTGCACGGGCTTCCACCGGCCACCAGATCGAAGCCACCCCCGGCTCGAGCAGCGAGCTCCTCGATCCTCTCTCGAGACAGCTCCGTCACGTCGCCCAAGACGATATGTGTTCCTCGCTGCCTGGTTCTATGCCACCAGCTGCGAAGAACTCGGTGGCAGTCCGCGTTGGTTTCGACGCTTACGAGGAACTTGATTGGAATACCGAGCTTCTCCAACGCCACCTCGATGCCGCCGATCCCCGAGAAGAGCGAGAGGACGCGGATACCGGTTGGGAAGAGCGCCGCCAGCACCGAGAGATGCCATGCCACCGTGTGGACTTGCATGGCGTTCCCGAGAGCTTTGATCCGCTCGGCCGGTGACTGGCCGGAGCTCGTGTGCCCGACGTCGAAGCCTTGCACTACTTCCAGCTCCTGGACTTCGAGCGGCGCCAGGATCCCCCGGCCGCGCCAGACGAGGTTGGCTCTCTTCATGTCGAGGAAGACTTGAGGATCGACGTCGTCGTCGTTGTAGAACGCCTCGGCGCTGGCCTGAACGCGAGCAGCTCGGTCGCTCGAGGTGGTGATGCAGTTGAGCTTGACGCGCTTGTCCCACGGCGGCCGGACGTTCTCCATCCCTGGGACGAGCTCCTGGATCGTCATCGGTCCCGGAGGCAGCGCTCTTCTTCCTTTGACGGGGAGGTTGTGGACGTAGCCTCGCGGCCTGGACGCAGCGCAAAACCATTTGGAGTTGACGAGCTCTGGCTCGATGCCGTCGAGAAACCTGGTGATGTCCTCCCAGCTCCCGCGAGGCATGATCGCTACGTTCTCGAAGTAGAAGAACGGTGGAGGGAGACTAGAAGATGGCAGCGTTCTTGATCTTGGTGGCTGCCCCGGTATGCCAAAGCCCATCCCATCGCCTTGGTTTCGCTGCTCCGGCAGGAAGCCATCGAAGTTGTCCTCCAAGTCGTCGAAGTTGGCGAAGAAGGTATCGTCTTCTCGTTTCCTTTTCCCGTCCGTGGTGTCAACTCTCCGGCTGCTGCTTCCTGGCCTTGATTCTTCGTCCCACTCTCGGTAGATCCTTGCAAGGTCTGGTTTTTCTTCAAGCCGTGGTGCGGCTTCCTTGGCGAAGATATGCTCGACGACGTCCTCGAGCTTCGCATCGTTTCCTACAGAAATCAATGAATGCAAAAGTAGCAAGCATAATCATCGGTTACCGAACAATCCGAGCGCATTAGCTATCTGCTCGTCTGAAAAGCCCATGGATTTGAGTCTACCATGTAGATGTTTGTCCGATGCCTCCTACGCAAAAAAACAAAAATGAAGAACGACTAAAACGTTGTCGCGAACTTACCTCTGCTCGAAGCAGATCTGGATGCTGCGAAAAAATGTAATCAGCTATGGCTGAGTCTTGGGCATTGGCACCTATGAAAAAGACAGATAGAGGAAAAGACTGTAAGTCATAAGCTTCGCTTGCAAAGCACAAGAAAAGAAAGAACAACGTAAGAGAAAAGCTCGCTTACCACATTCCTTGCGAGCGTTCGCGATCATCTCTTCCGAAAGTTTGCCCCTGAAAATATCTTCGAGAGAGGTGTGCTCCTGCGATGATCACCTTGTCCATCGAAAAGGAAGGAAAAAACACTCTGGAGCCTACCTGCATTGCGAGGATCTTTGACGCGAGATCCTCCACACTGCCGCAATCTAGAGAAGAGTCAAGCTCCAGGAAGAAAAAAAGCTGAGGATTACCCGAAATCTCCATGGCGCGATCGATGAGCGATGATGAGAACCCCATCGCCCGCAGCTCGTTTCTGCTGGATCGAGGGATCGCGCTGCTCGCGGTGTCGTCAGCCATCTGATCGTGAAAAAGAGATTGAAAAGAGGGCAAGAATACAAGGGAGAATCCAATACCTTGTAACCGTCCTCAACATCGAAAGAGAAGGATAGCGAGTCATCGTACTCGTCCTCGGATTCGGAGGAGGAGCCATACTCGACAAGCATGGCTGGAGCGACGAAAACAAAACCTCTCGGCTCCCAGTAAGAGGTGTCGCGGGAGATTCGAACCGCAAACGAGTGTGCAAATGTTAATAATTTTGATTTAGGCTTGCATTACAAAAAAATATTACATGATTAAAATTACAAATTTACACCACGTTTTAATTTTTTCCTGCACTTCAGTCCCTCTTAATTAATTGTAATAATAAATTGTATTATTTCGCCGTATCTTTAAAATTTAATACATATCTCTTTTCTCTCTCTCCTATGTGACACCTAATTTTACACTTCTTTCCGACAGGTTGAAAAGAAGTGGAGAGCTAGGTGCCACACAAGAAAAGAGAAAAGAGATATATATTATATATTTAATTTGCTCAGCTTCTCAAAGTTTATATTGTCAACTAGGTTTACATAAATTAGTAGATCTTTGCATATGTGGTTTTGCAACCAAAATTTATCCGACCCCCATCAAGCTCTAGCAGATAAATAGTGATTCTACCCAATTATTCATTCATTCATGTTTACATGGTTTTGCCGCACCCCCTCCCACATTAGAGCAGTGGGGTTATGGTGTGCAAACTGGATGATGGTTGCCCTGGCACAGAGCACAGACATGCAAATTTGACCCCCATTGCACTGGCGTGTGATTGTATGTGGGGCACATGTTGATAACATGGTCGACATCTTTGACTTTCTCGAGACACGTCGGGCAAAAGTGGGGTTTAACCTGCCAGCCAAGTTCAACGAGGAGGCGATGACGGCCTATGCAGCAAGTTCCAAGGATCCTCCTGTTCCTTGGCGGTTGTATACTTTAAAACCGCAAGTTGACAGTGGCAAATGTGGATGTTGTAGAAGACGTTTTCAGTGGTGCACATGAAGCACCACTGGAGTGCTTTCCATGTTCAGAATTCCAAGTTGTCTTGAGAATTTCACGTAAGTCCAGGCCCAGTGTCGAGGTCCATGTCAAGGATCATCACCAGTTCTGAACAAATGCAAGTGCTCGCCATTGAGCACCTGGCCAGTGAATTGAGGTGAGAGTAAGGAGTCGGATGCTGCAACAACCGAGAATGGAGTCCGTGACGTGTTTTGTCACTTATTCTCAATATTATAGGTCGCAGAGAGTAAAAATTCTCGAGACCTGGCTACAATCTGCTGTTTACGACAGCCACCCACTGGGCAAATTTAGCATTTGATTGTCAAAACTGAACTTTATAAAATTTAAAATATATTGTGGAACATAAAACAGCAAAAATTACCATGCATCACAAGAACAGTGAAGTTGCTGAACAACCTCCTTTGAAACAGTGAAGTTGCTGACCATCTTGACCAAGATCCTCTTTCTTTTCAGAAATCACTTTTGCTGAGGCATGGCAATCACTCTGCACATCCATATGTTATTACTGACAAGAACATTCGGTTTGTGAGATTCTTGAAGCAATGATAGGCAATTGCAACCTTCTCTTTGTTGCAATTGGCGTGCCAAAAGTTCTTTCACAACCAACCTCGTGAGCTCACCTTGTATTTCTTTTATATTAGGATGAGACCAATCCCCCACACGAAATGGGTGCATCTTTCCACCAACTTGGACAGCTCCAAGCTTCTTCAAGCCCTTCTCTTTCACCATCTTTCTCAGCCTAGCAATTTCATCTATCCTTCCACTTTTCCCATATATCTCTAGAAGGATAATGTACGGGGTGCCATTATTTAGGTCAATGGTAAATATCTGCTCTGCAGCGTATTTTCCGTGTTCAGCATTTATATGCTTCCTGCAGGAAGAGAAAAAAGTCATCCAAATTCTTGCTTCCTGCTCATAGGGCATGGTCTCGATAAGTTCTTTCCTAATCATGCAATTGCTCAATCCCGGGCACAATACCACAGTCTGAAAACCATCTCATTGAATCGCATATGTCTCATCCATTATCATCGTGCATGCCCGGATGGATGTCCTACATAGCCTTTGAGTATTAAGTCCTAGACATGCACATAAAAGACATGATATCATCCTGGTGGTCTCCTTTAACAGTGACACCTGTCCCTATGCAAGCCGGGCAAATGCCACCAATGTCTAGCAACACTAACTTCACCTTGACGTTCAGCTTCTTGATTCTGTACATCATTTCATCAACCACGAGTACTTGCCTAGCAAATGCTGTGCACCACGAGCAAGCAGAGCAGCTATGGAGCCTTAGGAGTGCATGGTGTAACACCTGTCACCATGCCCTCTTCTCTTCCCAACCACACGTGCATCCTGCCCATTAGCCGCCACAACATTGAGCCCATATTTCAGCTAACCATGGCCACCAACCTTGGCCCGGGCCTGGGGTGGACTCCCCTCCCAGAGAACCATGGCTTCCAAGGTTGCCCCAGGCCCGGGATCGGATGGCTGCTTGGGTCTGGGCCCTTCGTTCTTATTATTAAGGTTTGTTCTGTCTCTTTTCCAGCTTGATGGTATCGAACCAGTCAATGTCCAATTGAAGTGCGGTACCAGTATGCAGAAGTCCACTTGTTTCCCTTTGCCATAGTAAACATGGAGGAAGTCCAGTGCTTTCTCAACAGCTGGCCTGAGTACCAAGGCGTGCTTCTTTGTTACAATTACCTGATATATACTTCCATTGACGATGAAATCCCACTCCGCATTCCTGGCTGAAGAAGGCTTGAAGAGCACATTCTTATGGTCTAATAGAATCTGCATCAGAAAGACAGCCTCGTGTCCACCTCCTCTACGTTCCAGATGATACCTTGGAACAACCTTAGGGAAGCTCCCTGCCAAAACAGGTTCAAATTCCCCATCTTGTTGCAGCTCCCTGTACTGTGCCACCCCTGGGAATGAGTACGTTGCAAACAAAGCACTCTAGGAGCTTTGCCTGGATATTCCGGATACCATCTGGTTGCTCCACTGACAAGAAACGCTTCAATCCGGGTAATGGGAGATTTGACAGCAGTTGCTCTTCAACGTATGCACTGGCAGGAGCCAAACGGGAAAATGTGAACGTCTCGTCAACAACTGTATGAAACGCCCTGCGAGCTGGATCGTCTGGCAGTGCCTGGAGCTTTATAATCTTGTCAATTTCCGCTTATCTCTGCCTGCGCTTCCGGCCACACCTTCTCCAGCGCGTACCGAGGCATACCACCCCATTTGAGGAAGCGTTTCCGCACTTCCTCTGGATCACGTCCGAAGTTGTGCTCGTTGAAGCTCATCTTCTGTCCAGACGGGATCGAACAGCATGCGCACGTTGCCGGTCTTAGCAAACTCGTAGTAATTGGCCTTCTTCGGTGAGCACGTGACCAAAAACCTGCAGTACAAACTCCAGTCCCTTTTCGGTATGAACGTATCAGCCAGGTACCACCATACCACATCATTTAATGTATTCGGGACCTCACTGTGCCCTTCCACTTTAAGCTGGTCGTCCTTCCAAGTGACAAATACCATAGTAGGGAGCTTTATGATGATGTTGCACCTCTTGGCCAGCAGTTTCCACAGTGACAGCCACCCGTCTTCCCTATCCCTGGATTCCCCAGCAAGACTACTCCTGCATTAGGAACGTCCAAGCTCTCCGCTTCCACCTCATTGTGCTCCCAAACGAGATTAAAGATGGGATCCTAGCAGCTGCGGATTAGAAGCTTTCTCTTCGCGGAGCGCGTCGGCACCATCGCCACATTTTTTAATGTCTTAGGGCTTAGGCGGTGGAAAGTGAGCTTAGGTGAGAGTCATGCTCTTGCTAGGGGTGACCTCTATCCATAGCCACACTTGCGCCTTGCCCTCCATAGCAATCGTGAAAGTGATTTTTTTTTTTGTTGTGATGGTTGCCTAACTTTGTGGGCGGTCATTGGATGGAGGGTAACTAAATCCGATTCTATAATTAAAACGCAGCTAAAATCGTTTGCTTGGTCTTCAATAGAGACCAAAGCCAACATATTTAAACACATATATTAACATTATTATTGTTAAGGAAGAAAAGATGTATCTGGTTCTTCCATCGTATTATCAATCTTTATATATTTTTCATGAAAGATTGCAGCTGGCTAAAAATCAATTTATCCAGTAAGGTTATTTTATAATATTGTGTAGTATGGGATTTTGTAGTGCTTTGCCCAACCAAGCTTACCCAAGGAATTCTGATCCCAACTGCAAATGCCCGTTCACAGATCCCTCCGGGCATCATTAGAAAATCCCCTGTAACCCTAGATTAATTTGGAGAAATGTACAGCCGCACCATTTTAAACGGGATCTGGTAAGAGTTATAAGCACCCAGCTTAAGGTCGAAGTTTGCAGTCAAGTCAAGGTTCCCTTGCACAGGCCAAGTTTTTGGATCTGCCTGACGCTCTTAGTGAAGGCTGGTGGTCTGTGGGGAAACTGAACCGGAAACTTCTAGTCCGCAGCTGCTACGATCCCATCTTTAATCTCGTGTGGGTGCACAATGAGGTTGAGGCGAAGAACATAAATGCTCGTAAGGCAGGAGTAGTCTTGCTGGGGAATCCAGGGATAGGGAAGACATGCTTTATTTCGTTAAAGTGGAACTTATTCAATAAAGTGGGACATTAATTAGCATGTGTCCACATGCTATTTCCTAATGCTTAATTAATATTTATTAATATTTCTATCAGTTTTTTAATTTATTTTTTATATTTCACAATATTATAACACAAAATCATATGAAAAGTTTTTAATTTATAAATTATAAAGCTAAAACTTCAATTTTTTATTGTTGTTATAAAAATGGCATGTGGCCACACACCATAAGTGGGATAATGAAAAATTCCACTTTAACGAAATAAAGCATAGACGGGGTTTTTGTGGCTGTCACTGTGGAAACTACTAGCCAAGAGGCACAACATCATCATAAAGCTCATGGATGACTACGTATTTGTCACTTGGAAGAACGACCAACTTAAAGTGGAAGAGCACAGGGAGGTCCTGAATACATTAAGTGACGGTGGTGAAGGGGCACCCTGGTGGTATCTGGCCGATATGTTCATACCGAGCTGTGATTGGAGTTTGTACTGCAGGTTTTTGCTCACATGCTCACTGAATGAGGGCAATTA